CCAACTCTGCTATGAACTCCTCTCCACGGCTATCAGGGAGCAAGAATGTCAGCAGGGTCATGTTTTTGTCTCTTTGCTTCTGTGCACTTGGTGCACTTTGACTGCTTTTTAGGAGAGTAGTGTGGTGGTAGAATTTCTGGCTACAACACCTTTCCCCTCTGACAGTTGCAGAGCTGTCTTAAGGAGGAAGTGTTGTTCTGTGCAAAATCCCTCCTGGGGTGGTTTTGTTGCACTTTGTGATTCCAACCTCCTTGTGAATGGCAAAGAGTGACTTGTGCTGTTCTTTATGGGATGGTACACTTTCATTTTTCCTAAATGAAGAATAACAGCTGCCTAAAAAAACATGAAGTTGTTCAAATTTTCAGGTAGGAGGGCACACTTAACTATTTGAGCAGTTATATTTTTTTCCCCACCAAAAACGGTATTCTAGCTGATTGAAACATGCTATTTTGCACACTTAGCAAAGATAGAAAAAGATCCACTTCCCCTTTTTTTGGGTCCAGGCTCAGCATTTGAAGACAGTCACAGAGCCAATGAGACTGTTGAGTTGTGGGGACCAGAATGCAGTTCCTTCCTCTGCATACGGGTGTGTCAACACTCAGCTCTCAGAAGTGAAGGGCACAGGATATTCTGAATTGTTCCTGAACAGCTACTTTGCTCCCCTTTGCACTAAGTAATCTAATATGACATGTTTACTGGAATGGTAGCAGCAGTTTGGGAGTTGTTTACTTTCCTACTCTGCACAGACATTTTCAAGATKAAAAATTAGAATGTTTCCTTTCAAAATTGTCACAAAATGTTTTCACTTGTTCAAATTTTCATCTTAAATATCCTCTAGTTTACKGAATGACTTAATGAACCTGATGTGCAGGTAGAAATTCTGAATACTTAGCTGCTATACTAACCAAGCTCACTCCCATACATTTTCAGTTCAGAAAACATCAGGGAGATCACACTGAAGAAGAATCTCAAAGCAGTTCCACAGTATTTGCATTCCGGTGGGAGGATTCTTACCACTTACCTGCTTTCCATGGGCACAGGATAATATTTTCATACTCTTAAAAAATATTGTGTATTGCTGATGTAATCAGACAGGTTTGAACATGAGTTACAGTCAGATGAAAATGGATTTAAGGATTGCTTTGTGTGAGGGCCATGTTTATGGCAGCAGCAGTGTCTCAGCAGCAGTCTTTTAGCCAAGCAGAAAATAAAAAGGAATATAAGAGATTTTTATCTTGACCTTACTTYTGTGCTTTTTCTGGGTTTGGGATTAGTATTGAAAATTGCAAATTCTGCTAGAAAGCAAGAGGCATTAAATAATATTTCTGAGCTCGTGTTCTCTTTCCTACTTTGATAAGTACTCATCATTTGGATTGGAAAAAGTATATTCCAGGCTAAAGCAAGAAATGCCTCTGATGTTGACCCATGCATTGCAATTTATAGGTAAGCCTGGGTTTCATGGATATGAGCTACAGGATGAAACCGGAAATGATTGTTCAGCCAGTGAAATCATCGTATGCCTTTAAATATGGCATGAAGTTTTAAATCAAGAAAAAAACTGACAGCAGGTTTAAAAGCCAAAAATTATGGAGCTTAGTTCAATTAGAAGCAGATTTCAAACAGTATTTAGAGACTTAATTTTATCTGGGCTTATGGAAGCATTTGACAGATGCCAGTGCAATTCAGTTTGGAACATCTTGAAGGTCTATTGCATGCCAACAAAAATCATGAACCTTATCAAAGTTTTATGCCAAGGTTCTGCTTGAGTAGTTAATGGGAACTTGCATAAATAGGCTAATGAAACTCTCCTGTCAAACATACACTCMTGCAAAATCCCACTGTCAGTCATTGACTTCATTACAATATAAAAAAATTTAAATTCTATGAAATAAGTATGGCAGACCAGGAAAGCACTGTACCAGAATACTAAAAGGATACTGTCAGCCCTAGCCTTCTAAATTACAAGCATAGACAAAAGCTTTAAGAACTCTCTCTCTCTCTACAAAAATAGACAAAGACACCAACCATAAAATAACCTCCAAAAATGGACCTACTGAGCAACTGCTCCCACTGTTTCAGAGTAGGAGACAATGGCATGCAAGAGGTAACTCACTTCTAACTCACAGGAAGATGCCAAACAAGGGCAGACACCTGAAGCAAAAATGTCATCAAGTACCAAAGCAGTACCTGGCCTTCAGCAAATTTTCAACAAATATTCATCATTAATACTCTAGACCCTAAGTGTCCCAGGTTGTCCCCACAGCTAGGAAGAGGTGTGCTTCAGAACGTACCATGTAGAGACACCTGCCTGTGTAGGACTATGCTCAGCAAAACTTCTATTTCCAAGTAGTTTGAAATTTCCTAGCTGCCTTTGCCTTTCACAGAAATCAGTGATGGGTGTTTGAAGAGCACTATTTACCTTCTGACTTTCAGGGAAAAAATGATGACTTCTCATAATCATTTTATGTAAAGTGGTGGTACACAACAGCTTCAGAAAGTTGTAACACAGACAGCAGTAGCAGAAACATCTGACCTTGTCTGAGACATGAGGATATCTGATAGTGCAGAATTTCACTATTATTCAGCTATCTAAAYGTGCAGATAGGTATCAAGTGGGATCTACAAAAATGCTGGCACCTACATTACTTTATAAAGCTACCCCTGAGGACCTGATTCAAAGCCATTGTAGTCACTGAGCAATTACTATTGACTTTATTAGGATTCAGTTTAGATTTATGTTGCACACTTCTTTGCTGCCCTTTGCTGTCTCTGTTCCTGTGATTTGAATTGTTCCCTCAAGGCATTGCGAAAAAAGGATGGAAATGTTCACAGCAATGCATGGGAAATTGAATACTTTTCCTTCTGGTTTTGCCAGTATTTATTTAATACAAAAAGAAAAACATTGCTTTAAAGCGGAGAGAATTCTTCTGTTCATATTTTAAAATGACACTACATATTTTAACCAATAGTGAAATATTCCAGCTTGTTGGAAAGGGAATAAACATGCATGCTTGATGACAAGGAATTAATGTCAAAAATTCCTTTTCTAGCTGTCCTAAGCAAAAAACCAAATACATTAATTAAAACATGATAGTATCAAGCCACCTGCAGAATAAATAAGGGGACAGTTTTTTGTTGGAAAAAACTGGGTTGCTTTTTGGTTTTGTTTTGGTTTGGATTTTTTTTTGGTTGGTTGGTTGGTTGGTTGGTTGGTTGGTTGGTTGGTTGGTTGGTTGGTTGGTTGGTTGGGGTTTTTTAAAGGTATGTGATTGGATAATGTCTGAATTGTGCAGCAAAAAAAACTATTAAAGGGAAGACAGAATCAAAGACTAAGAAAGAGCAGCCATATATTTTATGATTTTGTAGTGTTGGAGAGAGGAGGAGGACAATAAATTGAAAACAAGTGTAGTGGTGCATGATTGGTCTGCAAAGGTGAAGAGTTAATTTTATAATTAAAAGAGCTTAAACCTGTTTTGGTTAAAGAGGAATGGTGTGTACACAACTGCTCTGTATCCAACCCAATGTCTGCACCAAGCTCATTGCTACAATCTCTTACCCACAGTGTCACTAATGGGATTGAAGATCTATTTCCAGCATCACCTCTACTTGCAGAGGAGAATTGGCTGCAGAAAGTCTGATCAGAACATATTAGTGATTCATGTGGCTTGGTTTTCCACTTCCAGCTGCAAAGATAATCTGTCAAGTTGTCTTTTCCTGAAATATGTTAGAAAAGTAGTTTCCTTTGTGCAAACATCTAATTTTATTTCWGCGATAGATATATGAGGTTATTAAATTCCTCAAAAACAGACATGTCAGCTTTWCTAAAGTTTGGCCCTTGATCAAGAACATTTAGCTTTCTGAGAGTGAATAGAAGTTTGTGCTTGCTTTTTGACATATAACATTAATAACAAGAGTGATAATTTCCTCCATCTACAATGATTTTAGGGATTGTAAGTGTTTGGAAGGTTTCAATACCATGACTGGATTTGCCTCTGGTAATTGAAAGATAAATCCTGCTCTTCCAGAGCAGATTAACTCTGTGCAACCTCTCCTGAGGCTATGACCTGCCTGAGGAAATCAGAGCAGAAGGGATTCACATACAGYTCTGGCAGTTTTTGAAAGCATTCAGCAGGTATTTTGTGGAGTCAAAGTCTGCTTTGTTAAGGATACATTTGAACATGAGATTTTCCAGAGCAAARTTCAAGTGGAGAAGTGCAATTGAGGCACTTTCACTCAGATCAGGGTGCTGYAGAGGTATGGGTAGGGAGGCTCACACCTGGGTCACGTTACTGGAGGACAGTAACAACATGGTTAGGTTGGTGGGAGCAGATCAGTCCCAAGTTGTGCAGGAAGATATTTTCTATGAGGTTCACTAAAAATTCAGTTCTAACCCTGAACAATTTCCTTCAAGACTGGGAATGTGTTATGATGGAAAAGATGCTAATGGATATGAGCCCTTATTGGGTAAAGTAGGTAGAAGGTCTCTAGGTGCTGTCTCCATTAATCATTGTCATTAGGATGTAGTTCCTTCAACCTTTTTAAACTTGAGAAAATTGCATTTAATCTATACGTAGGCTGAAGAACTCTCCTGRTTACATTCATTGCAATTAATATACCAATTTCAGTCCAATATCAAAATCTAAATTTTCTCAAAACTGCTAAAATCTTCTYAAAAAGTCATGATTTTAGGATGCACTCCTTCTCTAGTCCTCCCATGGCCTGATTTGAACTCACAGCTTGTTGATTYTACTTTTCACATACTAGAATAAGGTATTAATCTTGTATTACAGACCAAGCAATATGCTCACAGTCTGTATTAAAATGACAAAGGTGAAATTAGATTGCACTGTGGTCATTTACTTCAGGGCAAACACCTTCACATRAATAAAACATGTAGAAAGTGTTGGCACTAGCTGTTACAAGCCTTCAAATCTTCTCCAGTAGGTTAAAAATCAGCCCGAAGGACAAACTTAAGTGATGAAARTGTTATTAAATCCTCTACAATGATAAATCAAAATTTATTTACATTAACAGCTGTATCACATGCAGCAATAAACCTGCAACACAATGCAATTCTCTAGCATGGGTATTTCTACACAACATTGTGACAACCATGCAAATGAAAGATTACTCAAACCACTTAACATAATTAAGAAAAAAAAGATATTAATTYATGCTGAAGGAGAGAACTGTTTACTTGTAGAAACAACAAAACARTGCAGTTGTTTTACTGCAGTGAGATGAAGAAATGTGTCTGAATATGCAATGCGTGTCTTCAGTATCATTGTAGAATGGTATGAACTGTTTCCTGGATGTGCTTTTATTTAATGCACATGCAGACAAAATATCTCATACTAGATAGCTAGCATGAGCTATTTTGCTGTCTGAAATGAGAGCAAAACATAATGACTAAAGAGAMTGTAGATATTTGAGATTAATGTTGAGTCAGTTTGTTTGCTCTGTAGAAAAATATCCCCCTAAAATAGGAAGTGAAAGTGAAATAAGGGAGGAGAACACTGTGTTATGAAAAATAAAAAGTAAAATCGTTATGCCCATGTGATGGGTGGACGGACATGTGGTGATGASCAGGCAGAGGAATGTGAGGATTCAGGAAGAAATAACTGTCTCAACAATACTCTTCTTCAAGATATGAATACATCAATCTCAGATTCCAGTTTTCCAATCATACAATAGAATGGCTTGAGTTGGAAGAGGCCTTAAACATCAACCACTTCCAACCCCACAGCCAGGGGCAGGGACACCTTCCACTAGACCAGGTTACTCAGGGCCTCATCCAATCTGGCCTTGAACATCCACAACCTTCTTCCAGGGCCTTGACACCCTCACAAAAAGAATTTCTTCCTAAAATCTAAAATAAATATGCTCTCTTTCAGTTTGATGCCATTTCCCCCTTGTCCTGTCACTACACACCCTTATAAAAAGTCCTTCTCCATCTTATTGTAGGCTCTCTTCAGGTCCTGGAAGAACACATTTAGGTCACCCCAAAGCSTTTCTTCCCCAGGCTGAACAATCCCAGTTCTTGCAGAGCAGAGTAGAGGGGTGGAATCCCCTTCCTCGCCCTGCTGGCCTCGCTGCTTTTGATGCAGCCCAGAACACTTYTGGCTCTCTGGGCTACAAGTCCACATTACTGCCTCATGTCCAGCCTCTCATCCACCAGCACCTCCAAGTCCTTCTCGGCGGGCCTGCCCTCAATCTGTTCATCCCCCAGAGGGTTGCCCTGATCCAGATGCATCACCTTGCACCAACCACACCACTCACCCTGGTGTCATCTGCAAATTCTCCAAAGGTGCACTCAATCCCTTCATCTCATACTCCAATTTGTAATGTTTTGTTCAGCCAACATGCATTTTCCATTCAGTTATAGTATAAGAAATTTAACAATTCTGACCCTGAAAAACAGTAGCATTGTATAACAAAGGTGCAACAGCTACTGTGTTTTGCTGTAGCATGACAACTAATTGAAATGGAGAGACAAGACACAGAGGAAAAGGGAGAGAAGGAGAGAGAAGTTGTAAATTATTGCAGTAATCAGGAATTCATGAGCAGGAGTTAATATAATTTCAGACTTTTTTCCCCCTGCACAACATTCAGGATATCAAAAATTTATAACAAATCATAGTTAAAGACAATCAGAGGAAGACTTGGAAATGAGAGGGAAAGAACCTAATAAATTCACAAGGCGATGAGGTATTAAGTGCTTGTTTCATGCTATCCTCATTAGTTCACCTTTCATTTAAATGGTTTTTGGGTCTGTAGAATTTCCCTTGTCCTACAATCACTGTCTTTGGTCATCCTTCTCAAGCTTACACTCAGTGAAATGTTAACCCTACCTCCAGCCAAAGAGGACTAGTTAGGAGAATTGCCAATGAAACRATCTTCATAAGTTTATGTAAAGTCCTGTCTGAGTCCTCTGTCCTGCAACAGAATCAGAAAAATCTGTGAAGGTAGGTATGAGAAAATGGTTGAGTCTGGAGGCCAAAGCTGTGGGCTTTATTTTTCCCAATGAAAAATATTAGAGAGCATTTGTGAGTCTGCAGCAGGTTTTCTCATGAAAGGACAGTCTAAACTGGAGATTTGGACAAGGTGGAGGCATTCACACTATCCGTTTCTAGCAGCATTCCCTCAGCCCTAAGTGCAGGATCATACAGAAGGAAGGGTATCTCCGCTGGGACTCCCTGGGGACAGCCTGTCTCCTCTTGGTTAAGAGGGAGCTGCTTGTGGCAGGATTTGGGTTRTGGGACTCTCAGTTTCTCCCTCTTAATTTTGGTTCATGGGACAGCTGCCCACAGAGTGAGCAAGTGGAGCATCTGCTCTTTCCTCCTGTTGCTCRTCCAGTCCTGTTATCACCCATAGTAGTCTGAAGTGCCTTTCCATGAGACTAAAAAGGGAGAGCTCCAACCTCTGCCAAAAGGAGTACATAGGAAGGTGTGAATGAGCACAGCTGGGACAGCTGACCTGAACTGGTCAAAGGGATATCTTGTACCACAGAATGTCATGCCCAGTATATAAACTGCTGCAGTTACACAGAAAGGGGTCTAATTGTGGTTTGGAGATGGGCTTTKCATTGGTGAGCAGATGGTGAGCTGTTCTATTGTGCATTGCTTGTTATTCATGGGCTCTCTCTCTSTTCCCTTTTTATTATTATTGGTGTTGTTGCAATACTGTATTTTACCTCATTTCAACTGTTAAGTTGAACTATTTCATTTCAGCTATTACAAGCTGTTTGTTCTTATCTCAATCAGGAAATTTTACTTTTCTGAGTCTCCTCCTCATCTCCCCAGGGTGGGGGAGAAATGAGTGAGTGATTGTGTGGTGCTTAATTGCTAGTTGGGGTTAAACCACAACATCATCCCAAGTCACCCAACCTTTCTTTCACTGGCTATACACTTTCTTTTATCTGCCTTAGCTCCAGAAAAAGATCCCTGGTCAGCCAAGCCAGCTCTCTGCCTCACTGATTTTACTTCCAACATTTTGGAATTTTACCTTCCTGTGCTCTGGGAAGGTGGTGTTTAAAATGTGACCATACTGGTAGATCCCAGCATCTTCAAAAACATTTTCCCAAGGGACCTTACAAACTAGTTCCCTGAGCAGCCTGAAGKCTACTCTTCTCACATGCAGAGTTTTGCTGGCTATTTTCTTCCTGTCACCAGATATTTTAAATTCAACTGCTTCATGGTCCAAAATGTTCACCAATCACCACTTCACACATGAGGCCTTCTTGTTAGCAAGAAAAAWATCAAGGAGGATACTTTTCTAGTCAGCTCCCTTAGTACCTGTATCAATACATACTAATTTCATACCCACCCTGTGCATGCTGCTCAATGGAAGAGGAGAAAATACCTCTCYCCTCAGCCTCAGAAAGGCTAAGGGACCTGGTGCTCCTGCCCTAATCAACAAGGCTGAGAAAGAGGATCTGCTACAAACAGACATTTTGTGAGGAGGCAGAGAGAGAGGTTGTGTGAATAACTGGGGAACAGAGATTCCTGTTTCAAGCATTACCTTAAGGAGAGAGTCATTACAGTTCATGTTATCATATTTAGACATACAGGGTGTTTAGGCTTACCAACAACACCACTAGAAATACACATTGTTAAAATATAACTGTAGATTTCCCAGTTTTTAACCAGGCCCTCATCTTTTTCCTACTTCTGTATTTAATCAGTAAAAATATTGTGACAAATTGAGAGAAAAGAAACCCTTCTTATCTGTAATATTATTATCTGAACTTTCATTTTCTTTRTTTGTGTTTCTTTTTTTGGTCTGTCTTGTTGCCTACAAATAAAAAAAAAAAAGGAGGTATTTTAAAAAGAACCAGTCAGAACACTTAGGTGAAGAAATGCAGGTAACATCTGAATAAGCAAGTTGAATGCAGTTGACAGTGACAGTTCCCCATCAGCCAGAGATGTCACCAAGATTATTCACCAGAAAAGAAAAAGGGCTTTGAGCAACAGGAGAGAAGCTGCCCAGACTGCTGCAAACAGAAGTGCCCAGCGAGGTGAGAATGTGCTGCTTCTCCCAAAACAGACATCATTACATCAAGCAGAGAACCTGCCCGTGTCACACTCAGAGGTTTCTGGTTTGACTCCATTACAAAAGGTTTCATTTTAAATACTGTCATGTGTTCAATTAGTCTGTACTGCGAAACAGAGTGGGGAAAGACTCGGGCATTTTTTGTTCCTAAGCAATGTTTCTTCCTGTTTTYGGGATGTCTCTATAGTCAGACCCATTCCTATCTCAAGTGTTCAGTGGTGCCCCATCAGCTGCTGTGGGAGAGGTACATGCCTGGTGAACAAAGAGATGAAGGCRGGCTTAAGGCTGCTCTGGAGCACCACAGCACAGCTAGAGAAATAGTGAGAGAGAAGCTTTCCTTGTGTGAATTGATCTTACAGGCTTTGCACTTCCACATTCTATCTAGGTTTACATCTGGAGGAWGGCTGAGCAGGTGGAGATATGTCCTCAGGCCCCCACCCTGGCTGGAGCAGCTGACACACAGCTAATACAGAATGGGTGGTCACTCAGGACTTGGGTGGAAATGAAGAAGCTMAGCTCCTTAAACTGAAAGTACAACATGAGAGAGGAGCCCTCAGTCTTCAGGGAGGAGCCAGCTCAGCCAACAGTCCAGAAGGCAGGTGAAAGGCAAAGTGAAAAAGTTATTTGCAAATTAGCAGTAAATGCTTCTAAACTTCTACTATGCTCTAACATAGCTGCATTATACTCCTTTCTTAACACCTTTTCCACAYTTTTCTTTTTAGCTTCCTTACTTTGACCTTTCTTTGCCTCTTCTCACTTCCTCCTTGGTTTACTTGATTTTCTGCATCTGCCTTCTGCCTATTCCTCTTCCTCTCTGCTCTCCTGCTCCCCCTCCTGCTTTCACACAGCAGCCTGCACACCCYACTGAACCTGATTTCATATACATTCCCATTTTAGCATCTTCCCTTGCTGCGAAGGAATCAGTGTAAAGCAAGGAGTAGGTCAGCTMGACATCTGTTCTGGCAACAGTTTCAGTACAAATTAGTCAGAGCATAAATGAATTATTGGATTTTGAACTAATTGTGCATTTAATTTTGGGGGATAACATAAAACAGTTTTCTCTTCATGCTCCAACAGTCTCTGCAAATGACATTTAGCATCTTTGGCTCATGAACTTTTGATTTTGTGCATCATAACAATATCTATAAAGAGAGTAAAGCTAAACCGTATCTTGCAGAAGCTTGYTGTAAGCYAGCAAATTGCTTGTGGCTATGGCATTTTTCAGGCACTGCCAGAAGTAGGGCTGAGACTGAGGATTCGTTGGCCATTCCAAGACAGAACTTCTGCACAGCCTCTTCCTCAGCCGGACATAACGGGACTTCTGCAAAACCTTCTCAAGAAATATCAAGATAATGACATCCATTTTGTCATCTAGAAGCCGCTGATGAGCCATGTAAAATGTTGTCTTGAAGCTGCCACTTTTAATATATCTCTTGGTCAGCACAAAGATGGTCTTTTTGCTCAGCTGAATGCTCTGGGAAAGGTTGTCAAGGACTGGCTGTCCTGGGAGCCAGTCCCTTCCTTCCAGGCATAAATTGAACTGCCTGGCTTTTTGGTTTTCCAGCCTCTCAACCAGYTCTTGCAGCACCCACTCATTCACAGCTGGATCTTCACTGTCATAGGCAATGAAGGCATCGTAGCACACATCTGGTGCAGACAGGCGCCGATAGCCCTTGAGCTTGGCCGTGCAGTAATGGTAACTGTACCACACGTCCCAGAAGTAGAGATGGCTCATCACKGCCACCACCATAAGGCCAAGGAYGSTTGAAGCTGACAGAGCATACAGGATCAAATAGGACGTGTCCAGCTCACAGGTATACAGATCCAAGAAAACCACGCTCCTTCCCTTGTGTGCCCCTGGGCCAGCACAGGTCACRTCTGTGGCCAGAAGAGGAATGGTCACCTGTGTCTGATTGATCCACCGGACAAACCACACGGCCTCACAGTTACACTTAAAGGGATTGCCRTGCAACAGCAGCATCTTCAGATTGTTAATAACATTTTCAGGGAAGCTAGATTTYTTAATTATTTCAATCTTATTTGAGCTGAGGTCCAAGTACCTCAGCTGAAAAGCACCTCTGAGAAAATGTTGGGTTAGGCACTGAATGCGATTGTTACGAAGCATCAGTTCTTGGAGTGATAAAGTATACTTGGACAGTTCTCGGGGAACAGTTGTCAGAAGGTTATTGCTCAGGTCTAGAGTTACTAGGTTCCTCAGAGAGGGRAGGCTTCCCCAGATGAAACTCTTCAGTAGATTATTTGTTAAGTTGAGGATCTTGAGACTGGGAGGCATGTCTTCAAAAACAAGAGGAGGCAAAAATCTGAGCGAGTTGAAGGAAATATCCAATTCTTCCAGGCTGGTCAGATTCTTGAAGAAGGACAAATATCTATCATTKCCRTCCACCCAGAGAGCATCTAAATGATTTCCTCGGAATTCTAAAATTCGAAGAGATTGACTTTCCATTCCTCTATCAATCGTGGTAGAAATGTCATTGTCATTCATCATCAGCTTCTTCAAATGGGCGAGGTTTTTCAAAAAATTAAGCACATGAGTAACACCTTCAGCCTCAAAATAATTTTGATTATTGCTCAGATCTAGAATTTCTAGAAATTTGAGCTCTGTGAAAGCAGTTTGGTATARCAAATCAACCCTGTTGTTAGAAAAATCCAGATATTTCAATCCAGACAAGTAAGAGAATTCACTTCCATTTAATGTCTGACTTATTGCATTACCTGACAAGTTGAGACATCTGAGAGAGCTAAGTCCCCGGAAGTCTGAGGGGTTAACAAAAAATACATTATTTCTGCTTAAATCCAGAGTCTTTCCATAGTTAAGGCAATCATCCTTAACTGAAGATTGGTAGGAAGAATCCTCTTTGTCTTTGGAACGGCAACTACGCTCATATGCATCATACCTGAAATAATGCATCTCTTGTCGTACTTGCCTGTTGTATTGTTCCACTGAAATGCCAGGATTAGAGCAAAATCCATAGAAGTTGCTTTCCCCAGAAGAAGGAGAAATTTTATTCACTGAGAGGTCAATGAACTTAAGAGCTGGGAATTCTTCAAACACTGTCAGGTCTGCAATTTTAATAAAATTAGTGCCGAGATCCAACATGGTGAGATTCCTAAGACCGAGCAGTGGCTGTAGATCTTGTGCTCTCAGTTCCTTAAAGACATAACCCTTGAGCCTCAGGGTTTCCAGGTTAGAGAGGGAAGAAAATGTCTTAGAAAGATTCAAGGAGGGAGAATACATCTTCAGCTCAAAATTAAAGGACAGATCAAGCTGYACAAGGCTGGGGATAAAYRTCAAAAACTGAGCATCTCCAATCTCCYTCATGAGGAAGTTTTGGGAGAGGTCAAGTTCTTGGAGATTCTTGATGTTTTTAAACCAGCTGCTGGGTATGCTCTCAAGAGAGTTACTGTGAAGTCGCAAAACTCTTAAATTTTCCAAGGAGTCAAAAGCCTTTGAATGGATCTCAATGGAGCCCTTGGGACAGGGAATGCAAGGATATGGGGCATTGTAGCAACGTGGGCAATTGCCACTTATGTCGAGAATTTCYARGYTGGGRAGGGCCTTTAAATCCTGCTCTTCAATCACTTCAATCATGTTGTTGTAAATGTACAATTCCTTTAAAGTAGACGACAAATTGGGTGGAATGTGTGTTAAGTTGTTGGCCTTCAGGGACAGTATTGTTAAYTTTTTCAGCCCCAGAAAGGCTGTTTCCTCAATTTCAAAYGAAACATTGCATGGATTGCGGTAGTAACAGTTCTGTCCAAGATACAAAACCTCTATGTTTGCTAGCTCTGACAAGGTGTCTTTTTGGATAGAAAAGATA